ATAGAGCAAACATATATCCAACCAAATATATATATATATATATATATATATATATATATATATATATATATATATATAAAAGGAATGGCTTTTTTATTTATTAATCTTACAGATTTTATTAAGTAAACATTATTTTAGTGAATACTCGTATTTGAGTAGATACTCCGTTTATTTATTAAACAGTATATTCATTTAATTTTGTCTACTAGCCTGAATAGCCAAGAAATCTTATTAGATAAAAAATATATACGCTTCATAATAATAATAATAATATATATATATATATATATATATATATATATATATATATATATATATATATATATATATATATATATATATATATATATTTGTGTGTGTGTGATGAGGGAGATATGTTTGTTCACGTTTTGTCATTTTGTTATTATTTGATTTATGGAATCTTTGCCATTTTCCCCACACAAAAGCACACAGTGAATCTCTGAACAAATATTTATGAATTTGAATGCTAATTCTTTTAACTTGTATAAAAAGCTATTGGGGAAGAAAAGGTAGAATACCTAATTTGGTCGCTATATTATACTAATGTTTTCGATTTTTGATTCTGACCAATGACAAGCCTACTTTCGAAATATGGCCATCCCTGTCCTTGTGATGATTGCACAGTTAATGACTATATCTGTGTTTACTCAGACGCAAGCAACCGCATATTTCTATGAACATATATTTATTAATGTTTTTTTTCCCTGTACGGTAATGGTTATCGGCTCAAAGTGGAATCGGTTAATCAAGCTTAAATTGTCTGTTGCGTTCATTTTACACTAATGCCTTTGGAAAAAGCATGAATTCATTTGTTTTCCCTCCACTTACATTATAAGTAGTACTTTAGACTGGGCCCTCTAGCCAGTCTAGGAGAAGGACTACTCCCAATTCAGAAATGTGAACGAGTAACGAGAAGCCATTGCACTGTCTATCCAAAGAGGCCATGATAATGCACAGATATTTAAAAGAAAACTGTGGACATACAAGACTGTCATCGTCCTGAAGAAAATGAAAATTGAAAATTTGATAAATGGTGCTTATTTCTTCATATAATAGTTCTCTGCCTCCCTCTTTACACAAATACACACACACACACATATATATATATATATATATATATATGCATATATGTACATATCGTCGTTGGTGGTGGAAGTGGGATGGTCATAGCCAATTCCTTCTGATGGATCTGAAGAGACGTCTGCAGCCACTGCATGGAAGGGTAGTGGGGTTCAGGGGGCGAGGTTCCATTTCTTTTTTCCTACTTGTCTCTTCTATTTGTAATCTGGCATTTTTGAAAGATACTTTTTTCATGGACCGAGCTTCTCCAATTGATTTATTCTGCAGCTTCCATCTCCCAGTTAACCGGATCTCTTTTGAGCTGATCCTTAAAACGTCGACGTGGGATTGCATGTAGTCTCTTACCAGATGCGATCTCATAGAAGAGAATTCTTTTAGGTAGGCTAATATCTGGCATTTTGTCCCATCGCAGTCAGTGGCGAGACCTGACGGATTCTGTGCACTCCATCTTTGTTCAAAGGAGAATTTTGTTGTGTGTGTATGTTATAAAATATAGTTTTAAGGTATGATATATTTATGGGTAAAAATAGCTTAATATCAGCCATAGAGCTTATATATATATATATATATATATATATATATATATATATATATATATATATATATATGTGTGTGTGTGTGTGTTTGTGTGGATGACGTTATATATATATATATATATATATATATATATATATATATAGGCAGACATATATTATTAAATATACATATTATCCCTCACCGACTCGGAGTTTCATGCAAAAACAAAATTCTTCACATGCTGAGATTTGACTGACCGTTACGTAAATTGAATTTAAGAAATATATCTATATACCGCAATACTGATGTTTTTTAAATATTGGTGAATGGATGCCAGAGGAAGAACCAAGGGGAATGATAAAGAATATCATGTTGCTTAGAGCAAAAGGGACCGTATGTTGTAGAGAGTCATGATCTCCATGAACAGGCATATATATATATATATATATATATATATATATATATATATATATATATATATATAGGGTGCGATGGGTAGATTGTCACCATTTTATATTTTTAATTTGGTGCATCGTGTTGTTTGTCTTTGATTTTGTTGATTGCAGGGTATAATAGGATCAGTTGGGCACTGACTGTGCAAACATGAGCACAATGACGCAATTCACTCCACCATATATTTGGAAACGTCATACTGTACGGTACTGTACGGCATTCGCGCCGGAAGCTCCAATACAAACATTTCAAGTGAGGACAGTACAGAGGATTCGGAAAGAGTCGGATGAGTCTAATGGTGATTACGAAGGTGTTTGGAGCGATCGCCAGTGATGGCGACGTTATCCCTCCTTTTATCTTCCCACAGTGTCTTAAACTCAACCTGATGGCGTGAAGAGGTAGTGTTGCTCCGGTCACTGCTTAAAGACCTTATGTCTGGCAACATGGCCCTGCTCCATGCTACACAACAAGAAGAATCCAGTCATGGCTGTTAGACAAGTTCTCAGACATCACCCCCTTACACCTGGCTACCTAACACCCCAGACTGCACGCCCTTGATTGTCATGTGTGGGAAACAGTTGAGCGAAAGAGAAACAGAACAGCCTTTAACACCAAAGTGAACTGAAGGCAACCGTTATAGCAGCATTCAACAACTTAAACAAGAAAACGAAGAAAAATGTGCAGAACCAACCACACTTTTTGAAGAGCCGAATAAAGAGGCCTGGGGCACTACTTGCAACAAGGTCTCCAAGCGACTCTCAGCAGATTTTGAATTCAGAGTTCTCCTTCTCCTAGACCAGTTGCCATCCAAGGCTATAAAGCCCAGTCTGTCATGCTATTTACCCATAGCTTGAGGAAGAAAAGAGGATTAATACATTTCCAAAAGGTATTATCACCTAAGTGAATGTAATGGATTCGACTGGAATTGAATTCGGCTCTCCGATACATACATGCCTATATATATATATATATATATATATATATATATATATATATATATATATATATATATATGTGTGTGTGTGTATAAAAATATATATATATATATATATATATGTATATGTATATATTAGTATTATATATATATATATATATATATTCATTTTAGGAAATAAATATATATAAATATATAGTAAATAAATATATATAAATTAGTAAATGTATTCGCATTGATAAATCTAGGGAAAATCTACTTTCCCATGGACGAAATCTGTATGAGGTAAATAAATTGTAATTCACGCATACACACGCACAAACACACACACAGTCACACAAACACACACACACACACACACACATATATATATATATATATATATATATATATAGTCTGTATATATATATATATATATATATATATATATATATATATATATATATATATATATCCGTAATATATATATATATATATATATATATAGTCTGTAATATATATATATATATATAGTCCGTAATATATATATATATATATATATATATATATATATTATGAAATAGACCGACAATTATTTTTAAGACATTAAAAGAATGTATAAACATAAAATGTATATATATATATATATATATATATATATATATATATATATATACAGTGTAAAATCTCTGGATATAAGAGACCTGATATAAGAGAAAAACCCGGATATAAGAGAGATTTTCTGGTCCCAAATTAGAGCCTGTGTTAATGTAAACAAAATAGACCAAACCGGATATAAGAGAAACCCGGATATAAGAGACTTTTCTCCGGTCCCGACAACTCTCTTATATCCGGTTACACTGTATATATAGTCCGTAATATATATATATATATATATATATATATATATATATATATATATATATATATATATATATATATATATTTTTGTCCGTAAGCTAAATGTTGTCATACTTTTTTTTTAAGCTTAATAAGAAATTATCTGGTTTCTTTTAAGAAATGTAAGATTGTATTTAATTTTATATTTAAACTTAATTCGTCATTGTACATGATTTTCAGGTTTTATTCTTCAAAAATCTAAACATCCGCTGTGGTAAAAGCTAAAAATCTGAAAGTACTGATCCGATTGAATATTTATTAAACACAAAGTATCTAAAAGTTTGCCAGAAAAATCGGCATTCGTATGTTTAGCAGAGCTTCTTTTTTTCCCCCGCCCCTGTACTCGAATAGTGAATTGCCCACCAGTCCGGGCGGTTTTCGAATTATGCAACTGTGTGTTACGAGATAAAGAATATTTTATGAGATAACGAGACAGTTTCATTTGAAAAAACTTCATAACATTTGAGAACCTTAATAGTATTTAAGCATTAATATCGTAGTGTTAGCAAAAAATATTATAACATCAAAATAGCAAACAAAAAAAAGAAAATCACTTCGATCTTAATGTGATATTGAATACACGCTATTTTTGTCATTTCCTTTTCCTCCTTGAATGTCATCAGCCATAAGAGACAAGATTGAAAGACCTCATCTCTAAAATAAAAATCTATGAAATAGACTATTCTTAGAAGCAAGGCAAGTCCCATTACACCACCGCACTCACTGTTGATTTTTGGTCTGCAGTAGTCTCGATCATGTCCCTTTTGCTCATTCGTCAGCTAGTACATCCCGATTGGCGTTGTCTGATGCTTAGCCGTGATGACTTATTATAGATGCCTTAATCAGATAGCAAGCTGTATTCTGGAACGGAGCAAAAAACAATTACCGACACTGACAGATACGTATCAAACAAATCATTCGACGGAGAGAACCATAAAAAAAATCACTCTATCATTCAGGCCTACATACATTCATTCATACATATATACAAACACTTATACATAGATACACTAATATTTATATATTCATGCGCATACAAGTATACGCGTAAAATATATCTCTTCACATTCTCGATATATATATATGTATATATGAGAATCTACATGCATTGATTAAGTGTATCTATCTATCTATCTATCTATCTATCTATCTATCTATCTATATTTATATCTATATATGTATGTATATGCTAAATTTATATTGAATTTATCCTAAAGTATGTATGTTTGTAAATGTGCATTGAGACAGTAATTATTGAATTGGTGTGAATGGATATGTATATATATATATATATATATATATATATATATATATATATATATATATATATATATATATATGTATGTATGTATGTATGTGTGTGTGTGCGCGCACGTGTGTTTTTATCTGTGTGCGTGCGTACGTGTATGTGTATGTGTGTATACGTATATATTTATTATGCGTATAATTATTCCAACATATATGTTTGTATCTATATGAGATTCGAAGTGTCTCTTTTGTTCTATTCTTTTATGTATACACACACACACACACACACATATATATATATATATATATATATATATATATATATATATATATATATTAGTAAATGTGTCTAAACTTATATTAACATTGTATGTATTTGTTTATATGAAAAGACGATACATCTATATATAATTATAAAGGTAACTACATATAAATTTATGACAATATGAGACTACATTCTAAAATCTTTAACCACGTTTGTATGTGTATGTGCAAGTGCTTGTGTGTGTGACATAAGAATTTGTCTGAGGGAAAAATATATTTCTCTGTGTATATGTTCGCGCGTGTAGCATAAACTGTGTCCGCTGTCATCAATATTTTCTACGAATATACCCCCCACAAACACACACACACACACACACACACATATATATATATATATATATATATATATATATGAAGACGCGGGAGAAGTTAGTTTCAATTAAATAGTGTTCATATTTGCACATATTTCTATGGTAATATTTTATTTTACAATCATATATGCGTGAATTTCTTGACGCCCGTATATGCTTTTATTGAGGTGTGTTTATATGTTAAAATCCCTAAAACAATCAGCCTATAGGAAGTTTGTTAATGGCATTTTGATTCCGATGGAGAAACAATTTTTCTTCTTTTCACGCTATTTCGTTTCTTATCTATATTTCGACACATTCATTTCAATTATCGTTTCGATTCACGTATTCTGACACGTGATTTTCTTTTTCACTATTTTGTCTCTTCCTCTTTGAATAATCCAGCCTCAATTTATTCTTGCCTGTCTAGTTTTCTATCTGACTATTTGTATGTCTTCTTCCATACGTCTCTACTAGTTCCATTCTATTTGTATATTTCGGGATCATTCTATTTGTGTATGTATTTCTTACTGTCTCTTTAATTTCTTAGCTCTCTGTCCACACGCAACGGGATTCTTGAGAGGCGAGTATTCTGTGTTCAATGTGGATACAGAAGGCATTTTCAAAAACCGAATTTAAATATCTCTTCAATCAAATGTGGCACTCAGTGTTTCGACTACAATTGCTGGTGTCACGCGTATTCCTTCGTAAAATATTCACCCGAGCATAAAGTATATGATCGCATTGATCGGAATAGGAATTAAAATCAATTTTTTATCATTTTATCGATGATAATTCATCATCAATTAGATTTTTTTTCTATGTAATTCTGGGTGTTTCTCTTCTGTTTTTGAAAGACTGTAATATTTTTGATAAAGATCAGTGTTTAAAGGTTTATCATATACACGCACATTTATATATATATATATATATATATATATATATATATATATATATATATGTATATATGTGTGTGTGTGTGTGTGTGTGTGTGTGTGTGTATACAATAAAATGTATAATGTCCGACAATTATTTTACAAAATTTCTCAAATATTCAGGCCAGTAAATGAAACTGATGCTGTTTAATAAAAACAGACGATCTGCTTAAATAAATTGTATCTATAAAAATAACGTATAAACAGAATATCTATATATATATATATATATATATATATATATATATATATATATATATATATATATATATATATATATATATATATATATATATATATATGATCAGACGTTTTTGCACTTAATTCATGTTCCGTGACTACATAGATAAAACCATTCTTCAGAACTCTGACTCTGTTCTGAAAAGTGCTTGCAACTATGTAACCAGGAAACTTTAAAATAAACATGAATGAATGAAAAAATAACTTTTTCATTAATTCTATAAACGCTCTATCCCCTATCTTCAATATTGTACACTCTGCCACACAGCCTGCTTGCCTTAAATACCTTTATCCACTGAAAAATCAACAATTTTGGCTTCAAAAACAGTTTTCCAAATTAGCATATATATTAACTGAAGATATGCCTTAAATTCGACAAAACGTTGGAATAAGGAACAAGAAAACAATACATTTAGGATATTTTGCTATTTATTTAGCTGTATCTCCCAAAAGTTAAATTTCGGATGAACCTAAATATATAGTGAAACAACCTATAACACAACGCACACACACACACGCACACGCACACACACACACACACACACACACACACACACACACATATATATATATATATATATATATATATATATATATATATTTTAAGTAATTCGCGCAAAATTACTAATATGGTTCTACAGAATGATATAGAAAATACGATGGACGGAAAAAGTAAGCAAAAAGTTTTTAATGTACTTGGGAAATAAAACGGATAAGAAAGCGACAGTTGACATCTTAGGAACAGAGAGCTTGAAAAAATTTGATACTTCACAGGTCATATTGCTGGTAAGATGGCTAGAGAATGACCTCGCATCGCTTAACTTACGAGCATATGTTAATGGATGACAAAAAATATCTCTGAAGGATAGTAAAGGGACAAATATTCCTTAAGGGTTTAAAGTTCGGACGTTGTGAAAGCCATAATTGCTTATCTTCTGAAGTTACACGGTACATGAAAGAGGAAACATTAAGATGAGACTCAATGGCTTCTCTCTGTTTAACCTCATATTTCATTTATATATTTTTGTAAGTATAATCTATGACCAAGTAAGAAAATAGTTCGTGTGACTGGTTTCGTCTTTTAGGACTTCATCGGACTAAAGTGATTTTTTTTTTGCACTTTGTCATAGATTTTCTAAAATTGTTATATATAAATATAATATGCGATATATAAAAATCTATATATTGTTTTCCCATTTATATAATTGTAAATTGCGCAGTATGAATATGGCGTAATTTTCTATGTAGATATTCATCAAACGAGTAATTTACTTTTGCATTACTCCATTTGGGGAAATCGATTGATCTATGCAAGTAATTACCTCTATGATGTTATCGATTGATGGGATCAAATAAAAATTAAGGTATCTCTGTGGTGTGTTTGTATATCTAGGAAAAGGTTTGTATGTACGCGGACATGTATATCCAAATGTATGTTAGTTTACGTATATACGCATAATCGTCCTTCTCTTCTATAATATTACTGGTTTAGAACGCCAGTAAAATTCCAATAAATATGCTCACACTGATAACATGCTCAAATACTTATGTTTACTAATTTCTGACGTTTATTGCCAGTCTACTGGGCACGGTGGAGTAATGGATAGCCGCTCGGTTTTAGGAATCGGAGAGCCGAGTTCGAATTCCAGTTGAATCAACCACATACACTTACGTGCTAATAACCTTGAGAAAAGTATGAAACCTCTACTTCTCCCCCACCAGCTATGGGCAAATAGCAGGAAAGAATGAGTTCTTTAGCCTTGGGTGGCAACCGGTCTAAGAGAAAGTAACTCTGAATATAAAACTGTATGTAGCACGTACTAAAAGCTAAAGGAAAGGATCGTTCGTATTAGCTCAGTGATCCTGATTGCGGACAATGATTGGGTTGCGTTTTTCAATAGATGGCATTTGAATACGTGGTTGAAATTTATGACATATATACAAAGTAAACTCCAGAAATTTTGAGAATTTTTGAGGAGAGCTTCTTTATTTATTTCAAAATAATACAAAATTCTAATTTCCTTCAACGTAGTACCCTTCGTATGCTCTTGTTGTAGTGCTCTTCACTTCTTGAAGGCCCATTAGTAGCCCTAAGGTATCCAGAAGGTATCCAGAATTTTTGTTACGATGTCCTATTCCAAACGATGATAAAAAATGATGCAGGTTACATGAGGCGAGACATCGCAGAGGTACTCCATATATCGCATATGAGCATTGAAAGTGATTTGGAATCAATTGGATACGGGAAACACTTCGATGTTTGGGTGACACGAAATTTAATGAAAAAAATAATTGACCACATTTCCTTCTGTGATTTTCTATTCAAACGTGGCATAAACGCTCCCATTTTGAATGGAATTAACGCAGGCTATGAAAAAGAGATTGTCTACAAAAGTGTGGTTCGAAAAATTTCCCGGGGAAAACGAATTGCATCGCTGTTAACCACTTCAAAAGCCGGTTTGAATTCGAAGGACGTAATGCTGTTTAATTTGATTGGATAGGAAGGAGATTAAGTTTTACAAGCTCCCTCCTCGAAATTAGACGCTTAATTCAGACAAATAATATGCTTAATTAGAGCCATTAAAGGCTGAAATCGAATGAGAAGCATCCGAAATTGGCCAATCGGTTTTCTCTTAGGACAGTGCCAGACCTCACATTTCTTTCCAGATACGGCAGAAAGTGGTATAACTTATTTGGGATATCCTACTAAACCCACCATACTCATCTTACCACTTATTCCGATTTGTGCAAAATTATCCTAATAGGAAGGACTTCAATTCTTAGAAAGCCTGTCAGATTACTTAGATCAGTTTATCGCCCAGAAAAATGTCAATTTTTCGGACGATATCACAATGATTACGAGAGGTAGTGAGAGAAAATAGCATATATCGGATTGAATACATACATACATATATATATATATATATATATATATATATATATATATATATATATACATATATATATATATATATGTGTGTGTGTGTGTTTGTGTTTGTGTGTGTGTGCGTGTGTGTGTGTGTTTTGAACAATAAAAATATTGAAAACTTAAAATTTAAATTTTCAGAAGCACTAGGTTGTATATTAATATTTTTTGAGTTTCATTATTTCAATGAGGTTCCTCGACTAGTTTCGGCCAGCATGGCGATAATCAAGAAAAAAATCTTGTTTGTTAGTAGCAGTGAACTACAGGGTATATATATATATATATATATATATATATATATATATATATATATATGTGTGTGTGTGTGTGTGTGTGTGTGTGTGTGTGTGTGTGTGTGTGTGTGTGTGTGTGTGTGTGTGTGTATTCGCGTGTATTCTGCCCGGCCTTTTTTTGGCTGGGGGTTTTGACAATTAATGGATCGTTTCTTGGTGGTGGACTGAGATTCGATCAAGCTTTGACTAGCTTGGACTGGCTTCGGCCTGGACCTGTTAGGACAAGTTATGACCAGCTTTGACTAGGCTCTGACCAGCTTGGACAAGCTCTGACCAATATTTTGACCAGTGGCCTATGAGTGGAAACACTCGGGTCTCCCACGTTAATCGACCTTGTGTCATATCTTGATTTAGTGGGAATCAAGTAAATACCATTCGCGTGTGGGTGGGCGCAGTGTAAAATAAAATATTGTCTGAAATTCAACGGACAAAAAATTCCGAACGATTGTTCGAGCAATATATAATTATTTTCGTCTATGTAATATAAATGTTTTAGAATCATAATAAGATTCGAATAAAAATGTTTAGACTGATAGCATGTTCAATTGTATTTGATAATGTGTGGCTTATGTCAGGAACCTGCAGACTGAACCTGTGATTGACGAGGACAATTGAAAGGAAATCAGAACGAAATTGAAACTCATGCTTAAGATCAAAAAGTTACAGTCGAAATATCTTGAGCAAATAATAAGGTTTGTTTTGTTTTTTGTTTTGTTTTGGTTTGGTTTGTAATACAGCATATCAACCTCGATGGGTTATTTAATGCCGACAAGATTTTTATTGCTGGTAATATATATATATTTTTTCAAATGTATTGCTGGTAAAATATTTTCCCTTCAAAAATCTATTTCTGGTAATATTTTCTCTTCAAAAATGTATCGCTTGTAGTTTTTTTTCCATAAAGTATAGCTGGCAATATCTTTTTTCAAAAGATATTTCATGTATTGCTGGTAATATTTTTTTCTTCAAAACCCTATTGCTGGTAATAAATTCTTTTACAAAGTTTTTCAGGTATTAAAACCTACTTTTATACTTTCATAGTGTTTTGACCCCAGTTCGGATGTTAACTATTTGCCCATAGCTAGGACCCTAACAGGTGCTACCACCCCGAGTCAGGGTGGACCTGGGAACACCAGCAATTAAGAGGTGGTTCCAGCACCTCAAAACCTCCTGATCAGAGGCCATGCTGTTGGACGTAGTTTATCGTCTTACCCAGTACGCGGATGTAGTTTATCGTCATACCCAAGACGGGCAAATAATAAGGAAAAGGGCTTGGAGAATCTGACCCTCACAGAACATACTGAAGGCAAGAAATACAGCTGGAAATATCAAGTAACCTACTAAACGGATTGGTGTAAATTGATGCTAGAGCATTACCTGGGAGGAGTTATACACTGCTTAGAGCTACAAAGGATTAGACATTTTGGGGAGTCATGGTCCTCTACGCCCTGAAGGCAAACGGCACATAGAAGAAGAATCTGTACACTGCTTGCTATTAACCTGTAAAATTATTTCGCAACCAACATGCACATAGACCGATTTGCCTTGGCTTTATTTTACTACTTAGCCTTTCTTATTTCTCGCCAATTCACTTTCTATAGCTTGCCAGCCGCCGAAACGCTGTATGATTGGCCAGATCTCCCCATCTATCTAGCCACTAATCAAACTGATCACTCCGTAAAACCGGTTTGCTTATCTCCCTTGCCTTTTCCGCTTTTCCATGCCATCTTCTCAACCCATCTCCCCAACAAATCTCCAGTCCACTCAACTACAATTGTCGTGTCAGACTTTATTGCCTCTTTCCCTAAACATAATCGATAGAAGAATTTATTAATCCTATTTTCTGACGACCTTTCTCTTCCTCTCTAACTTTTCCGTTCCGCTTATCTCAAAACAGTTAACTCCAGATAGCGTCCGGGACTATTTGTCTTTTGATGTGTTCGCAGGGGAGGTGAAGGAAAGAATGGGATGCTGGAGGGGTAGACATTCACTTGGTCGATCGTCAGGTCCTCTTTTCTGCCTACATTTTCTTTCTGCGTGAAAGGAGTAACTCTTCCACCATATTGCCCTCTGATGAATTATGTTCCTCTTCCCCTAGTTTATCGATTGGCCAGCAAATTTCCCTTCTTCCTCACATTATTACTCTTCGTTTTTCTCTTTATCGTGTCTCTCTTCACCATCCTCCTCTTTTGTTATTCATATTTCTTTCTCTCTTTTCTAAATAGCTTCTGTTCTTTTTCTTCTTGAAAAGAAACCGACCCGAGAAGCTGCAAGGGAAGAAAATTTAACTTATGGTCTTCGACATTAAATCATATTTCGGGGTTATATGTGATATTGGGCCTAGTCAAGTGAAAGATCAGATTCGAATAATGTCTAGTTTTAATTCATAATATTCCTTCATGATTGCGACTCTAATTTTACTTTGTTTCTTTCTTTTGTTTATTTTCAATATTTCGTTTCATTTTCTTGCCTTTTTCGTTCTTTTCTTTTCTATCCAAATTTCTATCCATTTCTTTCTTTTCTGTCTATTTTCTTTCTTTCTTTTACTACTTTTCTTTCTATTCTTTTATCTTTTTATTCTTTTGTAATCTTTTTTCTTTCTCACTTTCTTTATTTTTTTGCATTCGTTTTATTTTCATATTTTTTTCTTTCTTTCTTTCTTTCTTGTGTTTATTTGCAATGTTTCGTTTCATTTTCTTTTATCTTTTCTATCCAATTTCCTTTTCCTTGTTGTTTGCTTACTTTCTTTACTGTATTTTCTGCCCTTGTTTTTTACTTTTCTTCTTTCTTTGTTTTTTTTTTCTTTTCTTTCTATACTTTTTATCCTTCTGTTCTTTTTTATCTAGCTATTGTTGTCTTTGTTTCTTTTTATATTTTTTTCATTTTTTATATATTTCTATTCCTTTCTATCCTTCATTTCTCTTTTTTCCTTCTATTTTATCATTCTTTTCTTTCATTGGTTTTCTTTCTCTCTCTCTTTCTTTCTTTCTTTCTTTCTTTCTCAATCTTTAAAACCTTATGATCTCACATTTTGATTCTTAACGCTTTCTCTCTCGATTTTCTCACTTGAACAGACACATTTATATTCCTCATGTACTTGATATTTATTCTTGGTGAGTGAGTAATTCCTTGCCACAAATCTCGCCTTCTCTCTCACACAAATTCTGTTGCTAAACGCTTTCCTTCCTCCACACCCTTGATTATAATTCATAAACTTTCTCTTTAGGATTTCTAAATTCACATTGTCACTTTTAAGTAAAATTAATCAATCACTTTACCTATTGGCACATCTTCATACTTCGTCTCGCCTTTTCGTACAGACAATCAATCAATGTAGGCATATAATAAGGTCTAATAAGGTCTATACTTACATGAACACAACTGCCATGCTATATATTCATACATGCATCTACAGATATTGATAAAGATAACCATATCTATCTATCTATCTATCTATCTATCTATTTATCTATCTATCTATCTCTTACCATTTGTGTTTGAACGTATACACAATCACATATGCATATACTGTATAATATTCGATAACTTTCACTTTAGGCTTTTGGTTAAGTGCATTGACAAAAAAAGATATAATATCGAAAAATAAATATTTCTTGTGTAAAATTAATTATTTCTTATTTTTAAATTGTATATAGGGTGACCCAGAAAAATGGGAACTTTTTAACAATCCAAGAAAACCAAGAGTGATGGAAGAAAAATATTTTATTCATAGCAATTGAAACCTTAAAACACGCCATTTAAGAAACAATGATGGAATTTTCATTTTTTTTTAAATTACGTCCTGTAGATGGCGTCTTCCTGTACGAATGCATTCTTGAAATCTGCTGTTGAGATTTCTCATTGACTACTGCAACATCTCAGCTGAGATACTGGGAATTTCATCTTGAATTCTAAATGGCGAAATGTTTACTTGCTCAAGGTCACTATCTCGCAGTGTTGCTACTTGGTCATGTCTGGCAATACGCACTTCAAAAATCCCCATTTTTTTGGGTCACCCTGTATATATGTGTGTGTGTGCGTGTGTTTGTCCTTGTGCGTGTGTATTTGCGTATGTATGCATATATATACATGACAAAATATAGTTTTAAGGTATGCTATATTTATGGGTTAAAGTGCTCTGTATCAGAGATAGAGAGTATGCAAATATAAAAGTGGACATTGAAGTCAACGGCCTGCTTCGTGCTAAACGCAATCGTTCTGAGTTTAGCACGATACAGACTGTCGCCTCTGAGTGTTGACCACTTATATATATATATATATATATATATATATGTGTGTGTGTGTGTGTGTGTGTGTGTGTGTGTGTGTGTGTAAAATCCCATTTCTACGCACGGCGTAAATATATTGATCTCTCTGCGTTTTCTCTACTGCATGAAAATATTCTCACCTACTTATCTCCACTTTCATTCTTTCGATTTCCTGAACACTCTCTAACCAAAGTCCTTTCTAAAAGACCCCCACCCCAGCCGTTTTTTTCTATTCTATTCTGCCCTATATCGACCATAGACGCTACTAAATCTTGCAATATTGGGAATGAGCCATTTACTCTTTGTAGCAGGTAGAAAATTGGCCGAAAATAAATGCGCTAGCTTTTACGAAGCGAATAAGAACGGTCGTGCATCTACACATATATAAATTAATATATAAATGAATAACGGGGGTAAAGTTAAACGAGACAGCCAAGATGGAAAGGGAAGAAAGAATAACAGAAATGAAGTAATGGAAATTCAGGCGCAAAGAAAAGGAAAAATGGACACGGGGAAAATTATGTTGAAAAAGAAAATAAGAGAGACTAAAATAAGAGGTGGATAGTAACTACGAAAACAGTCATTAAGATAACGAAATGAAGAAAGACAAGTAGAAAAAAAAAAACGCCAAAAGATGGGAAATCTGTGGAAATGCAATGCGCTTAAAATCAATGACGCATGAGTCAATAACAAAGAACAATCTAGAGCTACTTAACTGTTAAAGTTTTCACCAATATTTTACTTAACGTGAAATATTAGACCTACAGAACTTAAGTTGATATTTACGGTTTAGTATTAATTTAGGAAACACAAACTTTCAAGTAATTGGCTTAGATTCATGTTCAACCAACATTCCCCGATGGGAAATGAAAGCTTCGTAACGATTACAACAATTCCCAATTCTATTCTCTATTAATAAACTCTGGTAAACTTTTATAAGTTAGCTTTAGTAAATATAACAAAATGAAATGGAAATGGCTTTACCATGAATAGATGAACATCTGGTAAGATGAATGAATCTGTTGAATATTTAGGTGTTCGGAAAGAAATTACGTTTTGCTAAGGCACATGTAATAGACTTAAATATTATTTATAAAAAATCTAATCAAATTCATCTTTAACGATTGCAATCCAACGGGAATTCAAATTTCGACCTCACTTTTAAAGACATCTGGGATTTTGCCATGAGGTTATTTACTAAAGAGCAAATCATAGTGCAACTCACGCTCAGAACTGAACTCCTATCTGAGACTTCGTCATTCCACTGCCAGCGAACATTTTTAGTTAACGGTTTGGGTTTGCGTTAGCTCGTTGCGTAGTCAGTTTAAGAAATTAATATTAAGAGCGTAATTTATTTGACTCGAAAAGTTAATCCTCTTTATCTTCGTACAATTTTTCTTTACTAAGGTCTTGATATAAGTGATATATTATTTGGCGACATCACTCCCCGACCCGTTAGCAAGGCTTTAAGATATGTTTTACGCATTGTAATCTCAAATTAATTACACATTATGTTAAAATATTTTAAGGAAAGTAAAACCATATCTGAACTATGAGTTCTAAAGTAATAATATGACATGAAATAAAATAAACATGAAAGTAACTTTTTTAATTTTATTTATTTTATTGGTTAGATTGAAAGTAAATATTGTAATGCTTACTACTTTTATCATAACTATACTTTGATTCTTAAAAATGTGCAGTTTAACAGTAGGATAAGGGTCAACGTTTTTGTCCACTTCGTTTAAAATATCTAAAAATATCGGATTAAATGTATTTAATTTAATTATGACTTTAACTAAACAGAAAGCATTTTAATAAATGATTTTTCAGTAATTTTGTAGTATAAAATATCCCGTTTGCTTTTATTTTATATATTTTTTAAACGTAAACAATAAATTTTACAGTGGAAAAACAGAATCGTAGGAAAAAGGCTCCGGAACATAAAAATGAAACATAGCAAAGCATTATAAAGTTTAACTTTCATGGGAGATTCTTTGTAACGATCGTTATAAGAAAGACTAGAAAAACTTGGATTAATAAATTATTTGTTTAAATCAAGTAAAATTAAAATGTTTCATTTGACTATAGGAAACGTGATAAAAATTCAACATAATTTTTTTATTTGTTAGAAATTTACAAGATACTGCAGTTTTAAGCAAAAATAAATTAAGTTGATCATTAGCGTCTTTGCTTTCATGGGTAACAATTTCATAGAGGAGTATATTACATAACCATAAAGTGAAGAATATTAAAATAACTTCCACGAAACAAGAGCAAGTTTCCTAACTTACATTTTTAGTGAATTTCGTACAAAAAATTGTTTTTGTAATAACATAGAATAACATAGCAAATCCGAAGGAAATAAAATAAATAAATCTTATACTTACTTCAATTAAATATGTTAAAGTTATTCTAACTGTAAAATGCAAAACATTCTTAAGCCAGCTTCAGCAGCGAACTACTGAAAACCCGAACCAAAACTAAAACTGGAACGACGAGATTTGAGATAAGTTCCGAGATATGCTATGAAATACTCTTTAGTAAAGAACGCCATAAATTTTGCCCCCAAATTATGAAAGAATTTTTTAAGCTTGTCAGTATGGAAAGTGTAGAATAACCGCCCATGCTAAAGGTTTAATTTTGGGGAAATTCCTTTGGCTTCAGGAGAGTTTACTTTAAACGATTCCTTCCCAAAGATCTAAGATCAGTTTTGATTTCATCGTTACAATTTATCATATAAGAATACATTTGAAAAAAGTGGCGATATTTCTTATTAATTTTAATACTGAAAGCAAAACGAAATAACATTTTTATATACTGCATTTTACATATTATGATTTTGTTATTTTCAGAAAAATAAAAGGCCGAGTCAAATACAATGATTTAATATATGGAAAAGAACTGTGAATCATCGACTATGCATAAATTGTATATTATGAATCATGTCAATGATTCCCTATTGAACCATCTTCTACGCTCAAGTAAACCGATTGTTGATGATAGGGATCAACATTTATCTTGAGATTAATCAATATTATACAACGAAAAAGACAGTTAACTCTCATCATATTCCCGTCAAATGTTGATAGTTATTTGCATCAACTTGATTTGGTTAGTCGCTTTGATGTGTAACATCCACATATGTTAATTAAAAAATAATACTAGATAATGTTTCTGTGAGCAATTTGCTATTTAAACGTAAAGAAAATGTTGCCCATTTAGAAACATTGTATCAGGCGCTGCAAACTGATTAATTTACACAAAAGTTGAACGCACAAAGACCAAAGGAAATGAATCCTCAGTAATCATAAGAAAATACGGTCTTCATCCAAAGAAATTGGTTGCACGTATTGGACTAGAATCTTCTACTTTAAACTTATTCTGGAGAATCAAAGAATTGGAAATAACAAAGTACTGCTACTAATTAGAGTAACTGGTGATATTAATAGCTGAAAAGTGTTCGAAATTAATTACCAGATTCCACCCAGATAATGCATGCTGATTTGGTAAATAGAGGAAATTGTTACAGCTTTCTTGGAATTTTTTCACTCATCCGCTATATTCACCAGATACTGCACATTAGGATTATCGTTTATTTAGGACTTTACAAAACTAGTTTAATGAAGTAAATGAAAGAAAATGACAGACATATTTTCTGCTGAGAGGTTTTACTTAAAATCGTCAGAATCATTTATACAAAATTCGTGAGATATTTAAAAGAAATTCTGTAAGATTCTATCAGCTTGATTTTTGGAAAACAAAATTTCACTTTCTTTGCACATAAGGGCACTGGCGTAAGACTACACTCGAAGACAAGAAAATAAATGTCTTAATTTGGTTTAAAATTAATCCAGTAGAAAATGTACGACAGGAAGATAAAAGTGGGTTTAATTCAAGACAACGTTTGAAGTACGAAATCAAGAGAATATAGAATTGATAAAAGGTAGTGAATATTCCTATTGTAATCGGAGAATTAAAAACATTATCAAAGAATTTACTCCTTGGTTGAAAGCATTAGACGCAACTATGAGGTTTTCTGCATTGCAGAAGGCCTGTAGACTTGATACAGTATGAACAATAAAAAATCTCTGGATACTTAAGGATGCGGGATGTAGTTTGCAAAACCAGTTTATAACATCTTTCTATAAATATGAAAAATAATTGCATCTACACATAAATAAATATATATATATATATATATATATATATATATATATATATATATATATA